TTTAACACAAAGTCAGATGATGATCAGGTCATTTTTCAATTTTTGAGTCAACCCAAACCCAACTTGAAAATTAATATGATTAAGATTTCCAAACCAAACTTGACTCGAATATTAATTAGGTCAACCCAAATCCAAATCTTTCGAGTCGGATTATCGGATCAGGTCTTTATTGGCACGCCTAATACTAGTGGAACTTGACCTGATAAAATTTTCAAATTTGTTTTTAACTACTGCGTTGCGAGTTCGAGTGCAACCTCAGCTGATTATATGAGATAATATAAGTTATAGTTTGTCTTATTGTTAGCTTTGCCATCTCTTAATTGGAGTTAAAAACTCTTTTCATCTCTTATGCATGAACGTGGGAGAGTGAGTATTGTGGCCATTAAATGGTGTGAGTTGTATAGCTTTACTTGCTAATGGAGATATTATTAAGAAAGCATTAAGATGTGTTTGTTCTATTCTTTTTTATATTTTCCTTGTTATTTTATTGCATTCATCTTCAATATTAATTCAATGTAGGTTATATAATTCCATGAAGTTTCCTCACCTAACAAATTTCATTGTTATTCATTTTAGTACAAAAATTGTTTGAATGAGGTATTGTTATTGGGAAATTTTATTTTGTTGTGGGAAATTAGAGTTATTCTATTCTGAGGAGTTTAAGCTTCTAAAAATCAATAAGAATTAAGATCAACATTCCTCATGTCTTGGTCTTAAGCTTCATTTGAGACAATTTTATTACTGTTATTAAAACAATTTTTTAGTGCAATTTTTTTTTTTTTAATTTTGTACTAAAAAGCTAATTTATAAATCAGTACAAAATTTGTCCCAAACGAAGCCTTAGGGATTTTTTTTTTTTTTGATAAATCAATTAGAATTAAGATCAAACATATCAATTTCTCATATAATTTTCTTTGAATTCAAGTTCAATAAATATTATGGTGAATATAACAACTATTTTGTATTTAGTTGCAGTGATGATTTATATTAAGATGGTGTCTGATCTTAAAATGTTGCCCTAGAATGATGAATGTGAATTTCTGTCAATTGACACCCTGCATGTGATCATTGTAGCGATTACTAAAAAAAATTTTGTAGCTGAAATTAGGATCCTCTAAGTTTTAAGACTTAATTTTTTAACACGCCTAAATTAATTCAAGTATTCAACTTAGCTACTCTTGATACGGCATCACAAAAATTATCTTGATCGAGCACAAATCTCGAGGCAAAAGCTAGTTGGAAACTTCAAAAATTAATTTTGGGAGCACCCAATCTCCAATTTCAGCAAGCTTATAGTCAAACTGAGCGTCTCGGAAATACGAATCCAACGACACCAAATTCGACCCAATCCGAGTCCAAATGGGTCCGCAACAACTCTATTTATTTTACCTATTAAATTCCCAATTTACTGAACTGCCCAAGTCAACCATAGTTTATCCCAATCAATTTGACCACCTCCATGTCTAATTGATTGTTCAATCTAATCGGTAATTTACAAAAGTGAGACGACTGTCATATCTACTTGATCACTATCAGTAATCTGATTGATATGCCCATGAATGACATGACCATCACTATTTGAGTCAGACAAACACATATCAAGTTAACGTGACTCCTACTAGTCGTTCACAATTGATTGGACTCAACAAAGCAGCTAATTCAACACCAAGCTTGCAATTCGGGCCGGCTAGATTAGGTTCATACTCATCAAGAACATATCTCCATTTAAAATGGACATACCAAATTGCACGAAGCTTCCCTCCATACATGTAAATTCTAAGAAGCTCTTGATTTACTCAATCTTATGCCATGTTGCATCGATAATAGTGCTGAACTATAGTAATATGTAAGGATGTCTATTATTTTTGAGTAAAACACGTTATCATAATCTTGCTTTCAGTAAAATTAACTTAGCTAAAACGCTTAATTAAGCTTAACAATCAAATTAACAAAAAGCTTATTTAATGCATGTTCAAGAAAAAAAGAGTGCGACTTGTCGCCTCTCAACTTTCATTTCCCAGTTTTTGAAGTAAATGACTTTTGAGAGTCCTCCAAATGCCACTGACTAGCAATAATTTCCTCTACGTAAAACTCTTAATTGCTATATAAGAAAAAAAATTAGGATATTTGGGATTTAAGAGGGTTTCTTTGGGATATATATAGCTTTTGATTTTTTTTTTTTTTTGCTTTAAAAAAAATTATAATAAAAAAATGTTTTTGAAAGCAATAAGAAATTAAGTTGTCTCAAACAAAACCTAAGTGCAATCAATCAAAATTTATATTGCATTCATCTAAAAGCAAATTCAATAGCTTTAAAATACAATATGCCTAATCTTTAATTTTTGAATTTTAAAATTATTGAATTTGCTTTAAGATTAGCTCAATATATCATTAATCCATCAATATTTATATTATACTTATATCCAAAATAAATGCATTGATTTAAAAATCTATTTGGACTAACTTCTTATAAGGATCCTATTATTGATATTGTGGCTTAGGCTTCGTTTAGGATGGCTTAATGCTTTCTAAAACAGCTTTTTAGTTCAAAATTTTCTTGGTAGAAAAATATTTTTGAAAGCAGTAAGAAAGCTATCTCTAAAGAAGCCTTAATCAACCAATAATTTTTTTTTGTCATTTTAATTAAAAACACCACATTCTTTTTCACCCTTTCTTTTAAAAAAAAAGATCAAGAGCTACTCCTAGAAAATTAATTAGAAGTGTAAGATATTTCTGGAAATTAATTAAATAATTTATATAAATTATAAATTATTTTTTATTTTATAACTTATAAAAAAATTGCTTTTATATATATTTGACATATATAGTGCGTATCAATATGTAAAAACTATATTGATTAAACATTTTAATAAATAATGTTTTTTCATAAAACTTTGTCTATGTAAATGAAGACTGGAGTTTATAAATTAGAATAGGAAATGAGATTTGTGTTGCAGTGAGGGCTGAATTAGCTTTTTCTTTTGAGGGTGGACAAAATAGAATTAGAGCATATATAATCTTGGAGATAAAATAAAAAAAA